GGCTAGATGCAATGTCCTTCTTGGGGCACGTGGTTTCTAAAGAAGGAGTGATGGTGGATCCTTCTAAGATTGAGACAGTAAAAAATTGGGTAAGACCTACTAATGTGTCAGAAATAAGGAGCTTTGTTGGGTTAGCTAGCTACTACCGCCGATTTGTCAAGGGATTCTCTTCTATTGCTTCCCAATTGACGAACTTGACTAAGCAGAATGTTCCATTTGTATGGTCGGACGAATGTGAGGAAAGCTTTCAGAAGCTCAAGACTTTGTTGACTACCGCACCTATCCTTACCTTGCCAGTAGAGGGTAAGAACTTCATTGTTTATTGTGATGCATCCTATTCTGGTTTGGGTGCAGTACTAATGCAAGAGAGATTGAATCCATCAAGGTGCAACGGAAGAATCGACCGGTTGAAGAAGCCACTTGGGAGAAGGAGGCAGATATGGAAGAAAGATACCCACATCTGTTTACAGATTCAGGTACTCCTTTTCTCCCTTGTTTTCCTTCTTGTGATCGTTCGGGGACGAACGATGGGTAAATTGGTATCTATTGTAACGACCTGTTTAGTCGTTTTGAGCAACAGACTTCAACTCTGGAAAAACTGGCAGAAGCGACGGACCCCACGGCGGACCGTCGCAGGGTCTCGTTTCAAAACACTTAGAAAATCTGAAATTGGGTACTGAAAATCGACTCTCTGAACTTCGTAACGGAGTGGCAGGACGGACTGTCACAGGTGTGACAGACTGTCACAGGTGTGACGGACCGTCACAGGCCATTCAACCAAAATCAAGTTTCTGAACTATGTGACGGACAGCAGGACGGACCGTCGCAGGCGCGACGGCCCGTCACAGTTTGCATAATCCCAGTTGGAGTCGGATTTCTGGTTAAGTTTTAAAGGGGCGTTTTGGACTATTCATGCTATAATTATATATTTCGTGGGTTTATATTAATAACTCAAATTCTTGGAGGTTAAAAGAGGTACCCTTAAGTTAATTAGTGGGGTATTATTGCCATCCTTTATTCTTAATTATATACTAATTAGGGTAAAAGAAAGAGGGCTTGAATAAGAAAACAGAAAGAACAAGAAGGAAGAGAGAGAACCGATCGAGAGAAGAGGAAAGCAACCAAGCTTTGAGGATTAACTTGCTTGATTTCAATTCTTCGGTGGAGGTAGGTTATGGTTTTCATGTTATTCGTAGTAAACTCTTAATAGCGAATGATAGGTGTTAGTAGTATTGTAAAACCTTCTATATGTTTAATTGTATGCTTGCATGAATGATGTGATTATGTAATTGTAAATAAATAAGCATGATGAAGCTATTGAATCCCAAATCTTGAAAAGAAACCCTAATTTACTTTGTTAATGATGATGCCTTGGTATAAAAGAAGGCTTGATGAACGAAAGTAGTGAGATTAGGGGATCGGGTGCCACGTTCTGGTACCAGGATAGAATATGGATCGGGTGTCACGTTCCGACACCAGGATAGAATATGGATCGGGTGCCACGTTCCGGTACCAGGATAATATATGAGGATCGGGTGTCACGTTCCGACACCAGGATAAAATATGGATCGGGTGCCACGTTCCGGTACCAGGATAGTATATGAGGATCGGAGTGTTACGTTCCGACCCCAGGATAGAATATGGATCGGGTGCCACGTTCCGGTACCAGGATAGAATTGAGGATCGGAGTGTCACGTTCCGACACCAGGATAGTATATTGAAGAGCGGAGTGTCACGTACCGACACGAGGGGAATAAAGATAATGAATCTTGAAATATGTTAATATATCCAATCTAATGAACTAAATTCCCAAATGAGTATGATGAGGAGGTGTGAGTCCTCATTGATGTGCTTGGTGTTGTAACCAAGGGTTATGGTAACTGTAAATGCTGCATGCTAAGGATATTAGTTGATTTTATGATATTGCTTAATACATACTGTTTTCTATTTTGAGTTGGCCGATGATATCTACTCAGTACCCGTAATTTGTACTGACCCCTACTTTTATGTTTTCTTCTTGTTTATTTGTGGAGTGCAGCAAACGTGCCGTCGTCTTCGACTCAACAGTAATTCAAGCCAGTCTTACTACATCGAAAATTCAGGGTGAGCTAATGCTTCTAGCTTGGACTGGATCTTCTTCTTCAAGTCTTGATGCCTTGAACTTCCGGCATGGACTAGCTTCTTATGTATTTTTAGCTTTTAGAATACTCTTAGTTTAGTAATTTGATCGTAGATGTTCTTGTGATGATGACTTCTAGATTTTGGGAATAATAATAGTTATTGATTTTATTAATGGAGTTTAAGTCTTCCGCATTACTTTATGTTGATATTACATTGAAATGTTAAGGTTTAGATTGGTTGGTTCGCTCAAATAGGAGGGTAAGTGTGGTGTCAGTCGCGGCCCGGATTTTGGATCGTGACATTTGTTCCATAATTTTCTCTGTTATTAATTATTTGTATTCTGTCAAATTAATTAAAATAAAATAAATGCATAACTAATTCCTTAACAAACTAAAATAAAGACATTTTTAATAAATAATGAAAATGTTGCTAAGGAATCCAATTAAAAGCTAAAATATTGTTATTTTGAAAATTTTCCTTTCTCTAAATCATATATCTGAAATATATATTATAATTGACTAAAATTTCAGACGTAAGCATATGATTTTCTTGCAATACTATTTTATTTTGTTCAAATTTGAAACATAAGTTCAACGTATCATTTTTTCCATTTATGATTGCTTACATGTGAAATTGGCTAAAATTTCAAGTGGATCTGAAATTTTGTTGAAGAAATACTATTTTTATTTTTCAAATTTTAACGCAAAATATAATCCAAATAAGTTCAAATTTGATATATAAGTTTTATATATTATAAAGAACAAAACTTCAATCATCAACTAATCAAAATAAAGGTATAATACATAAATGTGACTCTTAACTTAGTTTTATCGGTCAACTATGCCCTCCAACTTTGAATATGCACAATTAGACACTTAAGCTTGTGTAAACTTGAACAAGTAGATACACGTGTCCTATATGACATGATACATGTAGGATGCCACATAGGACACAAAGTTGTCATGTAGTGTGTCATGTAGGGCGAATGTGTCTATTTATTTAATTTATACAAGTTTAAGTGTCTACTTGTGCACACACAAAGTTAAGGGTCATAATTGTCAGCTGATGTGGCAATCCAATCCCATTTTTATGTCGAAACGTGGAAACCGATCCAGTTAGTTATGCGGAACATGACAATTTGATTTATCAACACACCACAATCACAAACACAAGTATACTTTTAAGTCATACAATCAAGAGTGATTTTTCATGGCATATAATCATTCGTCTATCTCGTTTACAACAAGTGTGACCAATAATTCAACATTCATATACATACAAGTATCATAATGAATCAAGAGCATGCATACATCACACAATCACAAAATTACAACCATCACCTACCTCGAACCAAACTTGAAACCCTAAGAGTCTTGACCGTTCCCTTTTCGGATTCGTTTCGCTTGTTCTTGGTCTACAACCACCCAATACAATACGGAAATCAATACACATTTACTAACCAAATTTTTAACAATTTCATGAACTCTAGATCATATCCATGATCCCACGTACCCAATTTTGGGTTGTTTCCACCATAGAATCTATAACAAAACCTTTCCCCATTGATATTAACCAATTTTATTACGTACTACGGATCAAAAAAATGAATTCGGAGAATGAAAAACTTACCTTTTGCCTCAAGAATGGTGGAAAACGAGTAGGAGTCACCTGAGGTTTGTTCCTTAGCTCTAAAAATCGAAAAGTGCCCACTAAGGTCGTTTAGGGGTGTATAAATGAAATGACATAATACATAAATAATGCCCTTTAACTTGGTTTCCAATCACATTTATGCCCCTCAATTTTGGGTGTGCACAAGTAGACACTTGAACTTGTATAAAGTTGAACAAATAGACACACATGTCCTACATGTCATTTTTTGTCCTAGTCTTACGTATATTGTGTCATGTAGGACTCATGTGTTTATTTATTTAAAAGCTAGATAGTCAAAATGTCTGTCTATGCATTATGAAAGTTGGAGGTCAAAGTTAAAATTTGAAGCTAAGTTTAGGGTCTAATATATGTATTATGCCTAATGAAATCAAGTCGCGTCTCGCCCGCCATAGCGATGCCCATCCCGCCAAGGCGGCCCCGCCAGCGCGGCAAAAATGCCCGCCAGGGCGGGATTCCCTAGACAAAGCTATCTCAAGAATTCCAAAATCCTCATTTCACAACACACCTCTAAACCATGACACTCAGAAAATACCTTTCATGCTAAGACCCATTTCGGGAGTTCTACACGTTCGAATTCAATTTCGTAAAGTCGTACGAATTCTTTAACGAGTTATCTAATTATGCATGAAATTAAAATTAAAAGTACATCACCCGATTGTTACCAATTTTCCCACACCTCAAAGACTCCGATTTCGTTCAAATTTGGACTAGATCGGTAAAAATTCAAATACTTTGAAAAAAAAATTTCATCAACTTTTCTATAATGATAGAACCCGATAGTTACATTATATTATTCAAATTATACAAACGTGCGAACTGCACAAAATAAAAAAAACCAAGCCATATAATTATAGTTAAAAATAGCTTACAAATTTTAATTAAGACAAACTATAACTTTTTAACTAATTAATTGTATATATTTGTTTATCAGTATAACTTTCCCTATACGAATATGGATTCAATGACTAGAGATTGACATGACTGAGAAATTATTATGTGGGGGAGAAAGTCAGAATAAATGAAAATGAACAAGTAAAATAAAAGGGGTAAAAGAAAATTTAATATGGGTAAAAGCAGGTTGATGCGAGACAGGTTAAAAGTAGAGTATTCTAAAGCTACACAGAGGGGGGACAGGTTTAGTATTCTAATAGACAGATAGAAAGATTCACTTCCACTTTGACATGTATTCTAATAATAATAAAACAAGGAAACTTCAAAACAAATATATTCACAATTTTATAGAGGCAGTTTTGATATAGGAATATTATTGCATGATATAGTATTATGATGACTACTAACATAAGTAGCAAGGGCAGAAGCAGCAGCACTTTTTACAACAAGAAGTACAATTTAACTTTGGACATCTAGGATAAGAACATGAACATGTACATGTACATGGGTTACTACAAGAGGAGCAGCTAAAGCAAGAAGGACATTTTAAGCTACAGCAACTCCATTTGCAGACAGGCTTGCGGCAGCATTTAGACCGTGGACAGGAGAAACATTGACAACAACACTTAGGTATTGAGCAACTGATAGATGGGCAGCAGTTACATAAATTGCAGTTACAGCAGCAGTTAGGCATCTTCATACTAGGACATCGGCACCAGCAACAAATCCACGAGAGATTGAAACATGAAGAGCCACTACAATGCGTAAGAAACTTATGTCAATACGAGAAGCCACAAACTCATTCAATCTATATCTAATTACTTGGGAGCTCCTGTAAACTGAATGAGTCTCATACGACTCAATGAGAAGAGCAGCAAATTTGTTTAGCTCTTGGAAACATGCTAATTTGACTAAACATAGAAAAATATGTGTCTATGTAAAGATGTGTAACCTCTTAATTGTTATCTTCCTTGATGAAAAAATAACACACTTCATCAGAGCTGAGATTACAAGGCTTGAAAACATCTCTCGAGCACATATTTCACGACTGCACCAATGCAGATGAGACTAATTACTCTCTTCTTACTGTAATCTTTCTTTTCCAGTAAGAATTGGCATTATGAAGGCTAGGTACAAAAATATTCAGTATCCTTTTTTTGATAACTATGGTGTCTGAATCTGAGACCGACCTTTTTTTTAAAATCAAAAGAACCCAAGACCTCATAGTGCTCAACCCCACTACATTGACCACCAAGCCATACTCTTGGATACTACAAAAAGATGCACTATAATTGCACAAAAATAATTTCCTACTCTTCATGTTTATAAATAAACCAAAAAATCTCATCCTGAAAGGAGTTCATCACCATAACTAGATTTCATGAAGCTTATGAGCGAAGGAAGGGCACAAACATAATCCATAAAAATATGAATTGTGACCACACCAAAAAACACAATTCCCACCAACTTTGGGTACTACTATTTACCATCTATTTTCTAGCTTATGAGCCACCAATAGTATTCTCTCTCTCTCTCTCTCTCTGAACATAGAGCTTTATTCACTTCTCACAAGTATCCCTAACAGTATGTTAGTACTTAAAATGTGAGAAATAAGCAGCTGTGTTGGATCACAGTTGCAGCTAACCTTGGTTTCTATGTACTCTACTCTTCTAGCTTATGACCCACAGAAATAATATAGTTCTGAACAGTTTATGTGCAACATTTTGCAAATTTCTTACCAGGATGCTAAATTTTTATCCATTAAGCCTAAGAACATTTCATAGTAATGCATAAAAAGTTTCTGATGTTTTAAGTTTTAGTCCTCGCATGCAGTTAATGCCAAGCTAATCACTCCCTGTCTCTTTATTTTTTATATGAATCTCACTTTAATAAAACCAATAACGAATCTCGAACAGCAATGATATTTCAAGCTCAGTTAGCATACCAGAGCCATTTCCAGAAGCAACGGGATCTACGAGTCTTCTTTATTCTGCTACGACGGAAAAAAGGCAATGAGAAGTTGTAAAATATAATACTGAAAATCCACTTCAAGAAAAACTTGTAGAAGTGACAGTTGAATACTATCTTACGTCGGTATAAGAGGATCTGAATGTTCCAATACAAATTCTGTAACCCTGCAAAATTGTCAACATCATTCAATACAGAATCACTTTAAAGGACATACTTAAATTCACTTCACATGACTTCAGTAATACAGAGCATGTGGAATAAATGCAAATGTAGAAAATATGCTCTCTACATACTCTTTACAGGATCGAGAAGCGGGATGAAGACCTTCAATGGATTTCAGTTCTTCCTGCTCAGAAGAATTGGATTGAAATGAGAGCAAAGTGAAATAACTTCATACAAAAATCACTTAAGCAAGACTTAGTAACATTAAAAATACTGCACATTTGTCACAACAAAGTACAGACAAGCTTATGGTAACTATGCAATATTATCTCTAGCATATTGTGGAACATCAAAACGCACCACATAAAATGGACACCTGTATCTCCTTTATCCCACCAAAGAAACTAGAGTACATACTGTCAATGATATATGCGAGGCAAAAATCAAGGTTATTTCGCGACAATTCTTTATTGGTTGTAGGTTAGTTGAAGATGATCCTATAAGTAAGTGTTTTCAAACATATCCGGATCAAATTTTGAAAATGCCTTAAAGATCCAGGGATAGGTCGAGATAAGTAATTATCAACTATGAAGTAAGCTTCTTTTCCATAGATAAAATTCATAAGCTGATGCATTATGATTCCTCCAAAGTGTGAGCACAAATCTAATACCTTTATCCTTTTCTGTGTTTCCCATGTGGAGGGGGGGGACAGGAAGTCTCCAGTCCCCAAGTTCAAGAGGAGAAAGCAGAAAAGTATGGACCAGTTTGAAGAATGAGATTCCAAAGTTTCAATGCTGGGCAGCATTACATGTGCAAGAAGTACAAATTCTGGTGGAAGTAACTCCATTGATATGTTAACAGAAAAAAAAACATGAGGAATCTAAACAGGTAAATATTGCATCATGCAACTTTCTTAAAGCTTGAAGAACCTATTGGATGGGTTGATAAGCTTATAAGCAAAAAGCCATAAATAAGATTTCTTTTGACTTATTTTTGTAACTTACCCTAAAAATAAGTGCTTAGAATTTAGAAACACTTTTTTATTAAACCCAAACACTACCAAACATCTTAAAAGCTATTTTGTCTCTAAAGCACCTAAAATAAGCCAATCAAAACTTTAAGTTATTCCTCCACCAGCAAGCGCACAACTTGAGAAGCAAATGAGCAGACTGAAAGTCCAAGAGCTCTATAAAGAGAATATCTTGGAATTCAAATTAGCATGTCTTTATGACAGTAATTAATCAAAGGGTAAACTGCTCAGAGTTCAAATTGTGTACATGACAGTACATTCTGTGCATCTAGTCACTGGTTTAGCATAGTGGCATGAGGCAACAGTGAAGGTTAGATATACTCCATTTGATATCCCAGCAAATCCTAAATCAAACAAAGATTCAGCCCTTAATTAAGCAAGCAATGTACTTTTTGTTTCCCATCTCAAGACAAACATGAAAAACTAAAAACAAGGGCTAAGTAAGAGATGGTCTAAACATTTACCTCAAAATAGGGGTTTACAGAACACAACAGTAAATTGATTATAAAGAAGAATGACATGAGAATTTTAAGTCAACAGAAGAAAACTGAGAGTTGAGAATAGGCACTAAAGTCACCTCAAGAAAGCCAATTTCTCTTTCAAGCATTTGAACTTTAGCAAATTCTCGACGCTTTCCATACAAATCTGGATACTGAGGTGGTGATTTTGGGCGGGGTGGCGGCATAGATGGCATTGAACCAGCCCCTGCCATTTCCCCCTTTTTCTTCACTTTGACCAAAGCTGTTTTTGTTTCCCTGTTTCAACATACAAAAGGGTTTCTCCAACTTAGAATCTTGCAAAATACAATGAATTTACTAAATAGTAGTAGTTTTTCAGAAGTTGCAAATGGGCAAACACCAAAGGACACCTACAGAGTAATAATATTGATAGTTTCAGACTTTCTAGTACAATAGTGGTTATGTCTTGCTGACAAATGCTAAGTTTTTTTCTTTCCTATTTTCACACACACAAGAAACTAAACCACAAAAAAAAAAAAATTTACTGACTAATGTGAAGAACCAAAGAAAAGAACAAATGCTAAATGCTTGTTGAATTTACTCCGCTCATGCAAAAATTGAAGTTTTCATTAAATGGGTATCTCTAATAAATAAAAAAGATTGAATCTTTGTAAGTAGATGAGCTAAAAAGGGTGTAATAATTACTCTTATTGTGGTGTGATGGGACAAATGTTGTTAATAGATAGTAAAAAAAAGCAGGAATCATTGTAAATTTTTTTTATAGTTGGGTGTGGGTGTGGGTGTGGTATCTAATGGGGGAAAGGGTTGCAGTATTTGCAGAGATTAGCAGAGAGTGGGACTGTAGGTTTTGTTGGGAGGGCCGAAAAGCTTAACGTTAAAGGATTCAGACCGCACGTGACTATCGACTAGGATAGAGAAAGAAAACACTTCATTTTACCTCGTTTTTACAGTAAATCGGGAAATACTTAGGAAACTCCTCCTTACCCCTTTCAAACATTTCATCATATAAATCCCCCTTTTTTTCTACCATCATAAAATTACAATTTTCATATTAGTGATTATTTGTATAAAATTAATTTCAACATATTATGTACTTTTTATCATTGTTTTAGTAATTTCTAGTGTTTTAGGTTGATAACACATAACAAAATCATGAGCGAGTTGTCAAGTGTCACATAAAAACTTAATTGCAGACTGAAGACGTGACAACACGGTATCACAATAAAGTTATAACTAAGAAAATCACAAACAACGAAGAAATCATTGATTGAAGTCTGAGATCAGCCCAAGACTAAGGCCGAACAACTAGCTGCTGCAGGATTGGACGTCTATCTATCTCACCACGCAGCTAATGTCCCAAGCCAATGTCACTCAATATGTCAAAATGTCTCCAACAAGAGTTATGAGGTGCCACCTAGGGTTGAGTCAAACGAAGGAATTACATCCCAAGAACCATTTGCCATTAAGGCAAGTGAAGAGGATGTGGAGGTCGTATCCAAAAATGTCTCTCTTGGTAGAGAGTGGATTATGAAGGTTAATATAGGAATAAACATTATTGAAATCTTTGGCCAATGCTTAGAAAGGTGAAGGACATTCTTGTGTGATTGAGGGGAATATATTCAAGGAGATTGAAAGCATTCAAAACGACTTTGAGTAGCGTTTGTACGCTGAGATCAATCTGAGGAAAATTGTTACATCCTTATACTGCAGCCTCATAGAGGCATGGAGAATTATCGAAGCCATAAAGGTAAATATGGAGGAGTAAAAGAGCAGGTCAGCATTGGCATGACTGAGATAGACAAGAACAATGTTGTGACATGGGAGTCTAAGATCGAGGAGAACTACACAAACAGTTCTCGAAGAAGTTCATGATGCACGAGAGTAAAAAACTTCTTGACACTAGAGAACTATTTCAGGCATAGAAAGGTTAGGGATGACGAATATCAATATCGTAATATTGTACCTATCAGAGACAGAGACTGTCATGATATGGGGGAGGAGAAAATGGTTGGTGCGAGGAGATATGTCTATGCACTATTAGCATGTAGGATTCGTTCAAGACTGAGCTCAAGTGTCAATTTTTCACCATCCTTATGATCCAAATTCCCAACCTTACGAATGATAATTTATTGTTTCAGTTTACGGACAGATTGTGAAATTGGGCTAAACAGGAACTGCAACGTCGATAAGTCACGAATATACATCAAGTAATGGTGGAGGCTGAGTCTTCGATGGATTTTAAGTATGAAAAAAAATCCAAGAAGTCAAAAGGTATCAATATAAAATCAAAGAGACTTACCAACAACGGATCAAGACTCAAGATACTAACAAGCGTGATTCTAAAAATTTGAGTGGACACTAAAGACATGTCGAGAAGAAAGGATGCTACATATACAGAGGGATGCGTGACTTTAGGAATCGCTCTGACTTAAAAAAGTCTCAATGCCATGGTGGGTGAGCAAAAGGAACAAAAGCAAGGAAAGAGTTCGCCGCAACATAATTGGGTATGATATGACTATGTGGAGATATCAAAATACAATTTATCCACCTCATTTATTATGAAATCAGTATATGGATTTCACTATTGACAACAAGCTTGCTCGTGCACTCATGGACAATAGAGTAACTCACAATTTTGTGACCGAAGTCACATTAAATATACTAGAGTTAAAGTTGGATACAACTACTCCCTCCTTATAAATGTCGAGGTTCAAAATGTCCATGGTGTAGCCAATGATATTGGTGTCAAATTGGGTTATTGGAAAGGTATGATGAATTTTTTGTCACAACGATAGACATTTCTGATATTGTTCTAAGACAAAATTTCTTTACACAGTGTCATACTTTAATTGATCCCTACCTCCAACATATCTTGATCATGAAATAAGCAAAAAATTTACATGGTTCTTATAGTGACTATGCTACACAAACAGAGTGAAGCCGAACTTTTTACGTACAGTTAATCAAGAGGCTCAAAAAGTTAGAGCGATTTCATGGTAACTAGGGTGACTTTGGGGAAGGCAATTGTTACCCAGAGACACTACCACCTTGCATAAAAGTTACTTTAAAGGGAAGTAATTTGCCATGCCCAATGATCTACCGGAGTACTTTCCTTCAAGCAGTGACAATGAGATTTTAGGTTATTTTTAAAATGAATTAAGTTTTTCGTCTCTGTCTTGTTCTAATTTTACTATTTTCTGTATATCTTTTATTTTGTTAGGTTGAGGCTGACTGTCTTTGTGGGAATAAACAAGTATCATCACGTCTGTTTTAAGACCATGACACTCTATGTCCCCCACTCTTTTCCATTTTTTTCGTTCCTTTTCATATAAAGGTATAATAGAGGGTAATAGCATTGTCATGGATAAAAAAAGATTGTTTTGCATGATATGAATTGTAAAAATTACTGATCTGGATATAAATCATATTTTCTTAAATGACTTTATAATATCACATCCCTTTTAGCGAAAAGAGTATTTATGAGTATATTTTAATTACCAAATACATTATTTGTATATTATTAATTTTAACGATTATAGTTAAATATAAATTAGTTATTTATAATATTCATTTGAACCTTAACAGTGGTTTGATACTTGGTTTGAAAGTGAGTAATGCATGTATTAGATTCTGCATAAGTAATACCACATTTGTTAGTTTGATAGAAGATAAGTAATTCATTATATTTTTAACGATTCCTTCCAGTCTTTATGTGTAGAAAAATGGTGAAAGAATTAGGCCAAAACTTTTTTGACTAGTAACTTGAAAATCTTAGCCTAGGCCAGTCTCAAATAGAATCTGAGTAAGGCTAGATCTAGGGAAATTCAGAAAGTGGTTGGAGATAACGTCTAAGTTTCTATTGGATATTCTAGTAGCTCGTACGTTAAGGAACTCATAGGGCTTTACAAAGATGAATTCTAGTGAGTAGAACTTCCGATATCAAATTTGAATTGAAAGAATTATTTAGAACGTCAAGTACTTCGAGGACGTGTTGCGAAATGTAGGATTTGAGAAAGAATGTGAGATTCTCCGTGCAAGCCGCTATAACGGAAGACATTCTGTTATGGCAGAGCCAATATAGTTGACATATTACGATGTAATGTAAAGAAAGTCTCAAAATCGTTTATTATTATGCAACTTCATTCTTCGAAAAAAAGAGAGATTTGGGGCTATTTTCCATTTTTTCATCAATCTCTTTACTAGAGGTATGTTAATTGTTACGCTAACCTGTAATTCGATTTTTAAGCCTTAAAATATATGATTGTACTTTCAAAGGCTTGTTTGAGGTAGGTGATGATTGTTTGTTTCTAATGTATGTAATGTTTACATGTTAAATATTTTATAGTATTTTGGTTGTGTAATACTGGCGGGAAAAACATAAGGGATGAATATGAAATGACATCATATTGATAATCGCATGCAATTAACCTGTTTGATTTACTTATGTCTACAAGTTTGGTTGTTCATTGTAAGTGTGATTGTGCATGTTGCTTGTGATTGCTAATTGGCTCAGGTACCATGTCAACATAGATTCTCTAATGGTTGGCTCGGATACCACGACTAGTGTAAATTACTAATGATCGACTCGGGCACCACGCCTTGTATGGGATATCATTTGGTTCACTCGGGTATCACGTCGGTACACTAACAATTAGTGTGTGGGTTCCATGAGAGAATTATTATACGTTATTATGATCATGTGATACTGGCTTTATGTGTTTGTTAAGTCAAGATTAGTGACTAAGAGTCTATATCTATTATGACCTTTTGATATATGTGTTTACTTGTATTGCTATATTTTGATTTAATGTTTACATTTATATCTTAAAATTGGTCATATGATTCAATTAGTGCACTGTAGTTGTGTATTGGTGTTGCTTTTACTCTTTTCTTGTTGAGTACAAAGCATATTCAGGCGGCTGATACGAGACATTGCCTGTGAGACCAGCGAAATCTGAATCCAAAGGTGAGCTACTTCCAAGCTGCTATGAATTCCTCCCAGTCTCTTTGCTCATCTATTCGGGCTCACACATCTCATAGTCCTTAGTTTATTGTTTTCGTCGTTGGGGTTTCGTCTATTTGCTTTAGACACTTTAGAACTTTGGTACTTTGACTTTAAGTTTCTAGGGGTTGTTTCTGCATATTATTTTAATGATAATTGAATAAATTTCTAGAAACTTTACCTTTTTCCATTGAAGCTATTTTTTTTAGTGTTATACATAATAATCTTGCTCCTTAAAATGGTTTGATGGCTTAAGATTAGGGTAGAAATTGATTCTCCCACTAGATCAATGTGGGTGTCATTCATGATTCTTTGGAACATGACATTTATGTATAAAATTTAATATGGTATTTAATTCATAGTTTAGAAACTCACATAAAAGATATATATGCATAAGTTATTAGAAAATCTATAAATTATTTTATGCGAGATAAAAGATGGAATAACTAATACTTGAAAAATTAAATCCTGAAAAACTAATGATTGCATAAAATAAGACATAAATTCTCTCATAACTAATTTATGTATATATTAATACCTCCATAAATCAAACAACCACTTAGGAGTCGTTTGGTAGCTCGTTTGGAGGTGAGATATGCAGGTATTAAATTCTGCACAAGTAATATCATGTTTACTAGTTGGTTAGAAATTAATG